CAATATGAGAGGCAGGGAAGAAGACAGTGAGGGTCCAGGGACTAAGGCAGGGAGGAGCTGTGATTGCAGGAGATTTTTCTGACCACAGAGATCTGGTCATGTTGAGAGCCTGATTGAAAGAGTGAACAGTGAACAAAGAGAGAGAGGTGAGGGCTTGTGGTACTTACAGAGGGAGGATGCTGTTGGAGACTGGAGAACCTGAGAAAAAGGAAGGAAGACGGGTTTTGAGGAGTGGGGCAGAGGGCTTCTCAGCCAATAAGAGGCCAGATCCTCTGAGGGCTGTGAGGGCCCGGGACCCCAGGCTGGAGATGAGGAGGGACTTAGCGTGGCAAGGCAGGGAAGGATGGGAAAGGCGCCAACTGATAGGAAATAAAAGGATACAGGAGGCCCAGGCATGTTTAGAACAGGGCCTGCAATAAACGTGGCCAGCAGCACTGGCCATGGTCCTGAGAGGGCAGGAACCCAGGACCTGGCAGAGTCCAGGCTCAGACTGACTGTGAGTAGCAGCGAATATTCTGGAAAAGGGGTTTAGAAAACAATGCCATGCCTAGTAGCATCAAAAAGATAAAAATGCTTGGGAATGAACTGAACAAACAATGTGCAAGACTCATACATCGGAAACTGGAAAACAATGTTGAAAACATTGAAATTCCAACTAAAAAAAGATACCTAGTATGCACAGATTAGAGGGGCGAATGTCATTTTTGCTGCTATGGCAAGCATGGGGATTTGGGTGTCGCTGTAATATGATGTCTTTGACTCTTTGGACCACAGTGCTAAGCGAGATAAATCAGACACAGAAGGTTAAATATTTATGGCTTCGTTTACATGAGAAACTCAGAGCATAAATAATTTAAAAAGAAAAATAATAGAAAACAGGGAGGTAGACCTCCTGCAGATGGGCAAGGGATCAAGAGATGAAGGGAGAGAGGAGAGAGAGAAAGGGAGAAAGTAACAAGAACTGAGATGTGATACACCTGTGTACCAGCTCCCCACGATGAATAATAATATATTCATTATTTATCTCATTTTTTATCTCAAATGTGTGATAAAAGAGCGGTAAGTGAGGCTAGCTTAAAAAGAAACATTAAGATAGAAGTACTCTGCAAACAGCTACAGTTTCTGTGCAATCCCTATTGCAATTCTAGCTGCCTTCTTTGCAGAAGTGGGAATGCTGATCCTAAAATTTATATGAAAATGCAGGAGACCCACAACAGCCAGCATGATATTGCAAAGGAAGAATTGGTTAAAAGACTCACACATGCCAGTTCTAAAACTTACTGTAAAGCTATCATAATCAAGACAGTGTAGTATTGGTAGAAAGACAGAGAGAGATCAATGGAATTGCACTGAAAGCCCAGAAATAAATCTTCACATTTATAGTCAATGGTTTTTTGACAAAAGATACTTCAATAGGGAAAGAATAGTCTTTTCAATAAATGGTGCTGGTACAGCATGACAGCCACATGAAAAAGAAAGTGGGGCCTCCCCTTACATGACATAGAAAAAGAAGTCAAATGGATTAAAGACTAAATACAAGAGCTGAAATGATAAAAGTCTTAGAAAACACAGGAAGGGGCAGACCTTCACGACCTGGGGTTTGGCAGTGGTGTCTTATATACGGCATCAAAAGCACAAGTGACCAAAGAAAAAATAGATAAATCAGACTTCGTCAAAATTAAATACTGTGATTCTTCAAAAATTCTATCAAAAAAAAGAGAAAAAAACAAGAATAGAAGAAAACACTTGCAAATTTTATACCTGCAAAAGGTCTACTATCCAGAATGTATAAAGAATTTCTTACATCTCAACAATAAAAAGACAACCCATTTTCTTTAAATAGACAAAAGATTTCCAGGTGTGATGGTGCACACCTATAATCCCAGCAGCTAGGGAGGTTGAGGCAGGAGAATCTTAAGTTTGAGGCCAGCTTGAGCAACTTTGTGAGACCCTATATCAAAAATAAACAAATAAAATGGGCAAAAGGTCTGGATTGACATTTTCCCAAAGAAGATATAAACTGGCTAAAAGAGCACATGAAATGGTGCTTTTTTATTAGTCATTAGGAAAAATGCAAATCAAAAGCTGCTGCTCGCTTTCCACTCACTAAGGTAACTAGGGGTTTTTATAAAAGCAGACAATGACAAGATGTGGCCCGGTGTGCAGAAATTGGTACTGCCATTCACGGACAGTGGGAGTGTGCAGTGGGGCTGCTGCTTTGGAAATTAGTTGACTGGTTCCTCAAAGTGTTAAACATAGAGTTACACAGGATGAAGCAACAAAGAGAATTGGAAAGCTACATCACACAGGGGAAAGACAAAAGGCTGTGCATGAATCCATAGAATAGTGGGGTCCGTAATAGCCACAGAGTGAAGTGACTCGCCTGCCTGTCAGCTGGTACACAGGTGATCAAAGTGGGCAGGATGCAAAAGTGAGATCCTGCCGGGCCTTGGAGAAACACTACAGCACGTGGAGGCACGTGGCTCCAAGACTTTGAGAGGGTGACGGGATGAAAGGACTCGGGAGCCGGATAAGCTGCCCTGTGGAAGCTCCTCGTCCAGGGCTGGGGCAAAAGGAAAGGGATCTGACTGCCAGCAGGCCAGCTGCCTGCATTTGGAGCAGACGCAAACGTAAGGCCCATCGTTGGCTTCACTTTAGTCCCACTGTCCTCCAAACACAGGGCCCTCCTCCCGACCTCCTGGTCCGAGAAGCCAGGTGCTGGGCCCTCAGCCACCGCCCCAGGGGCCACACATATTGACCCAGCATGTCTGGGACTTCTCCAAAAAGGAAACCCACCAAAGCCCTCTTCACCTGTCCCTGCCCACTGTGCCACCTGCTTGGCTCAGGGCTGGCATTTGTCCTCTGCAGGTCCTGGCTGCACAGACCTCGTTGTTTTCATGTCCTGAAAAATCTCCGAAAGAAGAACCTCTAACTCCCAGTGGCATTTAGCTCCGCTCTCTAAACATCTGGGTCAGAGATATGCTCGGTTAATTAATGTTCTTAGCACTGCTCATTTGCCTGCTGGATAATAGATTGATTCATAATTTCAATAAGCAGCTGTGTATATCTTTCCCCCGAACATAAAGGCAGCTTGCTGTCATTCATCACTTTGCATTTGGCAAATTTTAAATTTATTCAGGGAAATGTTGTTTAGGGAGGAGGAGGGAGAGCTTCTGATTTTCTTACCATTTTGCCTCTGACAATTACTCTGATTTGGAACTAATTTGGGTGTAGAGCGCATGTTAATGGCTTCACTTTCAAGGGCACTTAATAAACTCCCTGTCACTTGCTCAAGGAGAGAAGGCAGGGTCTCCTTTTGGGATCAGAGCCAAGAGTTTCTGAGGAGCTTTCACCCAGAGATGAGAACCCCTACAGAGCGTCTTAGCCACCAGAGAAGAGTCATTTATATTCCAGAGTAGAGAGCTTCCTGCTTCGTTCTGGAGCACGAGGGCCCAGGCTCTGGAGGAGAATTTAGAGATCCCCTAGCAGTCTGGCGTGAAATCCCCGGGTTGCTCAGTTGCTGGGCCGGTGCAGCTGCCACTGGGTCTACAGTCACCTGCAGAGAGGAGACCAAGACACAGCCATGTGTCCAGATGTCTTCATGCCTCAGTGTCCTCAATTATAAAATGGGGACAATGATAGAATTTATCTCAGTGTCATGATGAAAATTACATTACTTATTCCTGTCTTAAAAACACCACAAAGCATGCCTTCAATATGTACTGGTAGGCATCAACTGCATGCTAATGATTGATAGCCGCTTGGTTTGTAGGATGTGAACAGATATGGAGTGTCATGCTGGCCTCTCACCTTGTCCTCAGCCTTTCAGTGGAACTCAGTCCTGTCCTGTTTCCAGAAGCCTAAGGACTCCTCAAAACATGCTCACAGAGTTTAACTGAATAGACCTAGCTTCTGTTTTTAAATGATGACACATACCATATTTATAACATGCTCCTGTATGCACATATTTTGATTACTTGGTCAGTAGTGTGAAGGATGGATGGATGCATTTGTTTTTAGATAGAATTGTGATTTGTTTTTCAGTTCCCAGGAGAGAGAAAGCAAGGGAGAAGGCTGCTAGTCTAGTATGGATGCTATCATGTGAAAAGTTGCCAGGAAACATCACCTCTGTATCAGTCAACTAATGCTGCATAACAAATATATATAGTTCATTATTGCTCATGAGTCTTCAGGGTAGCTAGATCGTTTTGTGAGCTGAACCAGGCTGGGTTGGTTTTTCTAGGAGCAAATGGAACCCTGGAAAGTCAAAATTCTAGTCTAGGATCAGCCACATCTTTGCTTTTGCCACATTCTGTTGGCCAAAGCAAGTCACGAGGCCAACCAATATTGAAGGAGTAGGAAAATAGATTCCACTGTGTGGTAGAAATTGCTCCAAAACCACTATTGAGAATGAATAGAAGGGAGAATGGTAATGTGGGTATCTTTGCAACCTACAAAACTCCCTACATTTAGTGCAGCAGCTGTGCACAGAACCAGGAATGTTTTGCATCTCTAAGATGTCTCTGCTTTTCTCACCAGTATAATAAATAATGTAGCAGTAAATACCTTAGGCATAAACCTTTGTGTGCAATTCTGATTATTCCCTTTGGACAGATTTCTAAAAATGGTTTGTTGAATCCAAAGAATTGAACATTTGAAAAACACGAAGTGTATATTCAGACCTCCCACTTTTGAGAGGTTGGAATGACGTACCCTTCTTCTGGCCTTCCTTTGTGAGGGTCCCTATCCTAGGCTGACACTTGCCAAAGTAAGAGTAACCTTTTTTGTGCAATGTGATGTTTCACAGATGTTTCTGTTTTTATTACTTTAACACTTCTGAGGTTGAATGCTGCCCTGGTGAAGTGCTTCTTGGGGCCACGTGAGTTGGGCGTGTTTCAGGACAGCAGAACTAACATAAGCCAGAGCTGAGACTTTCCTTTCCCTCCTGGCTCACCTCTACCTCCACCTCCCTCTCCCCTGCCACTCTGCTGTCTCTGTAGCTCGCCCGCTACACCAAGGAGGGCTTCCTGCACTTGGGCGCCCTGGGGACCACCACACTCCTACCTGACACCCGCTGCCTGGTGGACAACTCCAAGAGTCGACTGCCCCAGCTCCTCGACTGCGACAAGGTCAAGAGCAGTCTGTACAAGCGCTGGAACTTCATCCAGGTGGGTGAGCCACAGATGGGCCCACAGAAGGAAACCTGGGCTCCCCAAGGTTGTCCCCCAACAAAGCAGGGCCAGGAACCTAGGTTTCTCCAGTCCAGTCAGGCTTGGCAACCTTAAACACACTGGGGCAAGTGTGTGAGGAGTTTCTGTGAGGGGCGGCTTCCCGATTCCTGTATAGGGCCAGGCCTTTGGAGTTCTGATAAATCCTGAGAGCAGAGAGCATCACGATTTCCCCGGAATTTTTAAGTACCTTAGCCAGTAGGGCTGAGAATGTAGGCTTGCAGGTATCACAGGAAATTCTCCATCCTGACTGCACCCTCGACAATGCCCCTAACAGGTCATGTAGTCCCTCATGATGTTTTCAGAAAACACAGTGAATGTTTAAACTTTTGGCAGATGTGTTATAGTAAAAGTCACATTCCCATGGAACGCCCTCAAAACACTCTCCCTCTCTTTGAATGCACTCATCCCTTCCTCCTTGCTGTTTCTGAAGCAGTTCTGCAAGTCCTCCTCCGCGAGTGTCTTCAGTTGCACTGTCCTGGCTGCCTTGCTCTCCTGAATCCACTCAAAACATTTTCCTTTCATGGCCGTTTGACTTCGTGAAAGCCTCAGAAGTTGCAGAGAGTCAGAGCTGGTGATCAGGTGGAGGAGGACACACTCACGGTGTTTTACAAGCCTGCCTCTCTGGTGGACAGCACTCAGCAGTGGCACCCCACTGTATTTTTGATCACGCTGGGTAAAGAAACTCAGAACTGCTTCAGAAAGTGGCAAGAAGGATGGGATAAGTGTGTGCAAAGCAAAGGGGAGTATTTTAAGGGGCATCAGTGGGCATCTGTCTTTCACTGTCATCATTTTTAAAAATTTAAACACAACCAGTGTGTTTTAATCAGTCCTTGTGTGTTCTGACTTGAGGGTCTCCAAAGGAGGCCACCACAATCCCTTGCATGGTGGGGGAAACATTGGTGGAATTTGTTCCCTGTAAATACCCACGTGCCAGGACCATGGTGGCTGAATCTCTCTCTCTCTCTCTCTCTGTCTCCTCCTTACACCTCCCAGAATGGAGCCATCATGAATAAAGGCACAGGGCGCTGCCTGGAGGTGGAGAACCGAGGCCTGGCCGGCATTGACCTCATCCTCCGCAGCTGCACAGGACAGAGGTGGACAATTAAAAACTCCATCAAGTAGCTGGCAGGAGCTGGGGCTTTCGGAGCCCAACCCAGGACAGGGCCCATCCATCCTAAAGTGCAGCCACACAGTGCAGAGACACAACAGGTGCTCGTGGGCCGCGAGGGCCCCTCCACAGCAGCTGGGCCCCAAGTGGAGACTGTGCGTCCTTCTCAGGCATTCGGCTGCCCCGAGGCTCCTATACCCTGGAAAGTCCCTCAGCCCTTCTCTGGGAAGCCAGGAGCTGTGTCTTCTGCACCCCAGGTGCAGGACGATACAGGGGAGACTCTGCCTTCCTCTGTGTTGTCTTCCGCCCCTGTATCAGGACCTGGGCCCGGCCGGGTCTCCTCCTCTCCTTCATCCTGTACAGCAACAGCAGCTTCTGGATTTCACTGTGGTCCTCAGTGCCATGGGGGCTGCAGCTTCATCCTAGCTCCCCTCCACCTCGAGGGGACAGGGAGGCCCCCAAGCCTCTCTTTCCTCTGAGGTTGCTTCCATTCAGATTCCCATTTAAAACTTGAGGCAGCCGCCACCCCCAAGCCTTCCCATAGGGGCGGCTTTGTGGGCCACAGCTCTGGAAGTTTCTGAGGTGCCCAGAAGGAGCTGATGCTTCCTGCCCAGGTCCTCTGTGCACTTGGCTCCTATAAATGCGCCCAGACCGGCCCTCGTGCCTGAGCCCATGGGAGCCAGAAATGGGCCAAGTGCACGTGCATGGTGGACTCAGCTGCAGGAGGCCGGAAGCAGGTGTGTGCAGCTCTGCTGCTGGGGACCCCGAGTCCTGGCCCCTGGAGCCACCGGGCCCTCCGTGCAGAAGAGCTGAGGATGCCAGCCCAGCCTCAGGCCCAGGAACCTCAAAGACGCTTTGTGCTCACCACATTTCACCCCAAGCTCTGCCAGTGACAGGGAAGAAGGCAGTCGTCTCCTCACTTAACTGTACCCCTCGCTTTCTGATTGCCCTCTGGTTAGGGTGCACTTATAAATCAGAGTTAATATATGGACGTGTGCGTGTGTGTGTGTGTGTGCATGCATCCGAGTGTGCGTGCCTGTGTGCTGCGCCGTGGGTGGCAGGGTATGCGTGCGTGTCTGAGTGTGTGCTGTGAGCGGAGCAGACATAGCTGTGTGGCCTTGGGCTTGCTGCTTCGTTGCTCACGGGACGGGGACAGAGCTCCGGAGAAGCGAGCGGGGTTGGCCTGCGTCAGCGGCTCTCTGGCCAGGGGACATGGCTCAGCCTTGCCTATGTGGTGTCCTTCTGCCACCTCCCATCTCTCTCCCCACTGCTGTCTCTGGCCAACCCTGCTCAGAACCAAACCCTGTATTCGCCCCATTGCCCAGTGTGGGGTTCGCAGTGTCCCCTTGGTGGCATCTTATCGGTGATCACCTCCTCCTCCCATTTCCTGCCCTGTGAAATAAACGCTTCAGCACTTCCCCGTCAGCCTCCTTTGCATTTATTTTTCTGGGACTGAGGATTGAACCCAGGGCGTTTGTACTAAGCTTCAAATACATATTTATTTAATTTTGAGACAGGGTCACCTTTAGTCACCAAGTTGCTCAGGCTGGGCTAGAACTTGAAATCCTCCCTCAGCCTCCCAGAGTTCTGGAATTGCAAGCGTGCATTTACATACCTGGTGTTCACCTGCATCCTGATCCCTCCAGATCCTGAGGTCAGGAAAGGAGTCCCGGAGATGCAACAGAGGGTTCTTTAATTTGTTGGGCTGAGGGGTGCTCTTGTTAAAGGCAAAGCTCTCTTGCAGGATGGGGCTGGGACAAAGCCAGCCTGCCCTTGCCTGTACCTTCCCCAAAGCTGGACAGAACTTGACGTCTGTCATCTTCTTGTTGACCCTGGTTAGGTTAGGAGGCGGAAGTCAGTGCAGGAAGCTATAAGGTTCTAAAGAAGAGCCAGATGTGACTGCGGCCTGTGTGGACCACGCCTCCTGCTGCCATGGAAGCCACGGAGCTCAGGGCAGAAGCTTTTGGGTCTGGGGTTTATGGAATGGTGAAATCCTCCAGGGCACCTTCTGTCCTGGAAGTGGGCCTGGAGGGAACTGTGAGGCAGTGAGGCGTCTCCCCACCGTGACAGCCCTGTCTCATTCCCGGGAAGGCACCCAGACATCCCTCTCATTGGCTGCTACACAGGAGCCATGTGTCCTTTTGTGACAGCCAATAAGACACATCTTGGGTGCCATTTAGGGCCAGGGGATCTTTGAGAATTGGGGTCTGCGAGCACACGGATGGAAAATATCCAGTAAGAAGTTTGTCACCTTAAATAATAGCATTTCAAAGTCACCATACAGCACGGCAAGAGCCAGAGAGTCTCGGGTTAAAATGGACTCCGAGAAGTGCAGTCCACACCCTGCAGTGCGGAGGAGAGACAGAGGGGTGGGTCAGAGAGCCCTCCGCACTGCTGCCTCACCTCACCCCAGGCCGCAGCCCAAAAGCTCAGACATGGGCACAAGGCTGGGAACTAAACGGCAAAGAGTGTCTCTCTGGTTCAGGATCCATGGGAGGCTGTACATCTCAGCACTGGCCCAGAATGTCCACTCATGGCTGGCCCCACCTATGGCCAGCCCCTCTCTATCCCCCAGGGTCTCTCTGGGCTGATGGCACTGCAAGTGACTGGGCCAAGGCAGAGGGGAGAGGCTCGTGTGGAGCCTTTGGTCCCAGGCCCTTTGGGAGAACTGGAAGGCCCCAGAAACCCTATGTCTCTTCTGGATCCCCTGCAGGCCACAGAGTGCAAAGGAAATGTCCTCTTCTTCACCCAGTGCTAACAGTTGGCACCATCCATGTTCGAGAAGTGACGAATCTGTTTCCCACCTCCTACGCCCAGTCACTCTAGCCTCAGGGCTGGCTCTGACAGTCTTTGCTGTCCCCTCCCCGCATACTCACCTGGGCTCTCATGCCCACTCCTGTCTCTCTCTTCTCTATTTTTCCCCTTAATTTGTATGGCTAGAAGTATCACAGATGGCACTTTTGACAAATGTCCAAGCCATCAAAGCCTGTGGCTTTGGGTCTCTATGTGATTTCTCAAAGTGTTTTCTTCATGGTGTTACTTACCCTGGTAGCTAGAAGAGAAGAAATCCAAGACTGAAAGGAGAAGATGGGGCCAGAACCCACCATCGGAAGCTACAGAGCCATCTTACATGGGTACTGAAGCTGTCTTTTTTTTCTTCATTTGATGTGGAATTTTGTTTTTTGTTTCTCCTCATGCTTGGAAAGCAGCCCAGTTTCACAAAGCAAGGTCCAGGTGGAGCAGGCTGTCCCTCCAGGGCCATCCAGCAAATGTGCTGTCCCCGATTTGTGCCGTTTGCCTTGGTTCCACTTTGCTTGGAATGATGCTTTGAGTGACAGCCAGCTAGGGAGGAGCTTGGAGCCTGCAGAGGGAACCAGGTGGCCCTGAAGTTGGGATCAAGCCAGGTGGCTGGACTCAGGTGCCCAATGCCTGCACTCCCAGTGTGTCAGCCTCCTGTCTGGTCTGCACTCCAGATTGGCAGTTGGGCTGGTAGATCATCAGAGGCTCCTGTTATGGTTTCGATTTAGATGTTCCCGAAAGCCTCAAGCGTTCAGAGGTGGAGCTTAAGTGGAGTCTGGTTTGGAAGAGGCAGGTCACTGGGGGTGTGATCCAGAAGGGTGTGTCTCCCTCCCAGGTTCCCCTTCTCTCTGCTTCCTGGCCACCCTGAGGTGAGCAGCTCTCCTCCTCCACACCCTTCTGCCTTGGAACAGGCCAACCACGGACTGACACCTCTGAAACTCAGCCAAAAATAAACCTCTCTTCCTTCAAATTGAGAGTGTCGGATATTGTGTCTCAGCAATGATAAAGTGACTGAGCTAGTTCTTAATCGGCTGCTCTTCCTCTCCCCTGAGCTCCTAAGTCTCTTTGCTCTCTTATTTACCAGGCATTTGCTAGACCTGAATTTGGAGGTTGGTGACAGACTCCCAAACTCCAGAGGTGCATTGAGTTCAGTGTGATCGATGTAATTTTACACCTTTCCTATGGTTTGCTTTTTATGACTTCTTGAAAAAGGGCAGAAGGAAAGAGACAGGAGTTGAAGCTAAAACACACTGACAAGTGTGCAGTCCCATTGTAAACAGATAAATATCGTGGTCTTTGCCCTTTAAAACCACATCTAAGATATGGAAACACGCGGAATATTAGAGTTCCCCACCTGTGGAGCCCAGACAGCCACAAAATGGGTGAGCATGAGGGGGATCTCCACATACAAGTTTAACAAGTTCAGGGGTTCTTTCCCCAAAAGAGGCTCCAGCTAATTGTGGGTTTTTGCTTGCGTGGCTCTGGGCATGACTTTGTCGCCTGCCTGTGGACAGGACACTAATTGCGACACTAATTGCCCAAGTACAGAGAGCTGAGGCGAAGACAAAGGAAACCCTAGATGCTGCCGGACCATTCATTATCACTGTCCTTCAGCAGTGGTCAGAGAACTCGCATCGCTCCGAGATCAAAGTCCCATCTACCCCAACCTCAGGGCTGCCTGTCCCTTGTCCAGTGTCGGTCTGATAAATGCAACACACAGATGCTTCTGAGGCAGAAAATCTCTCGCTAACAATGAGCCAAGCAAGCCAGAATCTCAGCGACCTCTTCCCCGCTGCCCAGCCCTCTGCAGCACTGGCAACAAAACCGAAACCTTCTGCTTCTCTTTGGGATTAACTGTTCACTAAAACCTGCAGTTCATCTCAGAGGTGGTAGAAGTCCTTTGAGCTTTGATTTGGTTGGCTCTCCCTGAGGGACAGACTGCTTCTGCTCCACTATGGTGACCTGCTCAGCGCATGGAGTTCACTTTGCCTTCCACCACCTGGAGAAATGCTTAGACGGTCTTGCTATGTGATTAAGTTACTCAGGCTAAGTTCAAAGTTGAGATTCTCCTGCTTCAGCCTCCCAGAGGCTGGAATTACAGATATACACCACCACATCTAGCATCTAGTGTTTCTCAAGTAAGTTATAGATGGAATGCTTCTAAAACTTCTTTCAGACCTCAGAATTGACCTAATACATTTTTATTGTAATGTTTTTCCATTATGTGTAAACATAAAACAGCTTTTGCTCATAGATCTATTACAACTATAAAAGAAAAATAAATTTGCAAGTCAATATAAACAAATCTATGAGGTCAATACAATTTAAGCTAATAGCATTCATCCAGCTAATAGCCTTCATGACTTTGTGAAAGGAAATTGCTACTGTAATCATGGTACCTCGGACACTGCCATAAAATCCTCTTGAGAACACAAGTTCTTCCCTCAGTTTCCCTGCCCTGTAAGGATTCTGAAATGTTCACAGGCCATTCCTTCATTCAACACATATCTGAGTGCCTGCTATCTGCTAAGGGTGTAGCTAAGCGTAAAACCTAGTCCCACACTGCCCAGAGACCAGCGCATGTTCTGATAGGTGACATGTCACCCTGCAGACATCATAGAGCACATACACAAACGAGGACAGCTACGATGTCACTGGGAGTGATAGCCTCAGTGCCTGTCACTGAGAAAATGCGGTTGGGAGGCCCTAGGCATGGCAGGGGAACCGGCAGACACACGACTCTTGAGGAACTGACGTTGGGAGCTTCCTAACTGAATTAAAATCTGCACCCTCCTCGCACCTGCAAATATGGCTGTAGAAGGATTTCAGGCCTCTGCAGGTAAGGCAGGTGGGCTCTGATGGTGTTCAGTCCTCACCTGGCTATGCAGATCCCTCAGAGGATGCTCACACTAATGAAACGATAATTCCCGGAATAAAGACACTGGATCGAGAACTCCTATAGGGGTCTCACACACGAAGAAGCCCAGCCGAAAAAGCCCAGTCTGAATCGCTGCACTTTTATCCCCTCCCGAAGAAGTCTGATCGGGAGAGGCCCCAGCAGCCCTCAGCGGCTCTTAGCACCAACACAGAATGTGGTTCACAGCTGGCGGGCGGGCGGGTGTGTGCTTTTCTTACCGTTGCTCACCTTGGTCTTTCCCAACGTGGTGCCTCACATGGGAAAGAACAAAATCTCCTCCCTGAGGCTCACGGGGTTTTTTCCTTTTGCTCTTCCACACAGAGCTCTCGGGAAGGACGCTGGTCCAGAGTGAGGGGTTCCTGGTGCACTTTACCAGTGGGCTGTGCTAATCTGATCACCTGTGAGTGTGTCGTCCAGCAGTAGCTGACATTGATATTTCTGCCTCAGTCTGGGGAATCTGGCTTCCCATTCTATGCGCATCTTGGAAAACCAGAGAAAGCCCGGCCCCTGCTGGGAATGTTGCAGTAAGCAAAAGCCACCAGCGTGCACCTGGGATCCTCAGGGCTTCCCCGAAGCAGTCAGCACAGCCACTGGTTAGTTTACCAGCGTGGCGTCTGTGACCCTGCCATGCAAGAGGAAAAAGAGAGGGTGCAGCCTACGCAGTTTTTAGACTATTCCCTAGGCTGTGTTGCACTTAAAAATGC